TGCTCCTGAGAAGTGGTCCCGAAAGGCGAAATTCCCATTGCCTCCCATTTTATATTTGGAGATGCGTTCTTACGCGGTAAAAATCCGGCCCCGAGGCATAATTGAATCACACTCAAGGATGCAGCAAACTTTTTTTTAAGCACATTGAATAGAAAATCGATCATTTGTGTGATAAAATATTAATAATACTCAAAATAAGTCTGGGAAACAAAAATACTGTACAGTGCTGGTTAAAAACCGTGGTGATTGTCACATGAGGTGCACGCCTGGTATTTTTGCTTTCAAATAATTGAAAAAAAAAGGATACTGTTTTATTATAATCAGGAGAAATGCGGTTCCCCACCACACAGCTCACCCTGCGTGTCTCATATTTGCCATTGCCCTGCGTTGCACAGTGCTGTTCACCTACGCAATCGGGGCATTCACACAAAACAAATAATTTACCACTGACGTGCACTCGATTTGCACACCCGCACACGCTTCGTCTCGGCATTGCCGATTGATTTCCGAACAACACCTTCGGCATCGCCTTATGGATTTCCGTTTTTGCGCAAATAGCGCTTGCCCAAAATGCGGTTTACGTGCTGGCTGCTGCTCGCTCCAAGATAGGCCGGGTTACCTTGAGCCAATGCCCTCTAGTAAACCCTCGGGCAGCATTTCCGTGCCGGTTTCCGGGAGGAGGAGGAGGAGGAAGAAGGAACGACACCGCCGCTGTTGCCACTGGCAGCGGCTGAAGGGAGTACACGTAGAGTACCAGCAGCCCTGGCACTCTGCTGCACTGCACGCTACAGTACCAGGCGGCAAGGACGGCACCATTTATTCCCACACAAGATTTATAATGTAGATGTATAATGTAGAGATTCAACATTCTGTATATGCGAATGTAACACGACATGTATTGAATTTGTGCCTTAATTTATACTTTATGTTATAGCGAAATTCCATACATTGAGTCTCCATATACGATGGATGGCTCTGTCTGTATGTATGTTGAATTTATTTCGCACCATACATAGCCAACCGTGCTAATCGGTGGTGCGGGGGAAGGAGAACAAACTAAACACAAAAAGACTCCAATAATGGACTGGCAGTCAAGGAATGGTAATTGTCCCGGGGGCAATGTTCACCGAGGAGATGGAACGATGAAATCGGTGGCTGTTGCAGTTGCCATGCGGATTATTGCATCGCAAGAGTTGGTGACAGCTTGAAGAGCTTTATCCAGCAGTGGATTGACCATGGCTGATGATGATAGACGAACAAGTGATATCAGTTGATTGCAAAATTGCTGTGAATGACTATGATGCACATTTTAATTAGCGACTGCCATCATTGTCAAAATGTCATCATAATCACCGTCGTAATCATTGAATTACCATAGCGTGTAGTAACGCCTGACTTTTATTCTTGCACGAATTCAAATAGTCGTTCACAAATTCCGTGACTTTGACAAGCATCATAATCGCGATTATCTTTTGACTGGTTATCCACTTAAGTGGTGCGTCATTTTCCCTTGCCCATAAATTGTGCCCTGGTCTCGTGCCTGTGATAGGTGACCCCAATCTCTCAACCTGCAAAAAAAACCCATCTCTGGTTATCATTTTCCTACACAGGTAGCTCGATACATTATCCAAATACATCCCTGGGCTGGACCACAAGAACATTATCTGGGTGGTCTTTTTTTTTACTTTCTCGTGAAATCCGATACGTTTCTGACCCTGCTTGCCAGCAAGGCCGTTCCTTCGTTTCTATATTTGCCAACACTCTATATTATAGTTTATTTTTGCAACGATGCGACGATCATCTTTTATTCAGTAGAGCGAAGGGCACTGTTGTTGTCGTTCGACTTTGAGCCTGCCTCCCTTTTGTCTGCACAGTAGAGAATAACGCTGCTTTTGTATCGGGGTTTTTTTTTTCTTTCTGTGAGCAGCCTTGCAAACGACATTCAATTGAAAGTCCATATCGGTTGATTAAAATAACACGTTGCATTCATAGTTGTGAATTATTTTGGTGGGAGCATAGCTGTGTTGCCGATTCCTCAAATGGTTTATGGTTTATATGTCATTTACTTTCGTCACGTGGTCTGCCTGGCTGTTGTCCCAGAGATTATATACAGGTTAAGGGGGGGGGGGAGCCAGGAAGGGCCGTGGGGGGGGGGGCTAAGGTTAGCCGCCTTTTGTTATGCTGTAGGGGGTTAGGGGGACGGAGAGGCGATGGCGAGCGGTGATCGAAAACGAGTGCAACCAACTGGAAGAAATGGAAATGGCTGTACAAGTATATGGACAAAGTTCGCTTGTGTGGGGAGGTGGGCAGGTGACTCCAAAGACAAAGTGCTGAGCTGGCACTGATGCATGCATTGGTTTGAATCCAGGCAGCCACCTGTAAATAACTAACACGGAACAATTTTTTATTTATTTTACCCACTGAACTATGTAGCTCTTTTTCAGAAGCGAGCTGGCCACAAATGGTAGCTCAACAACGTGGCTTTATCACGTGGAAATTTTTATTAGCCAAATACTCTAAAATCATGTTTCTAAATGTGGAGGATAATAACGGAGGATCTGGAGAAGAATCCACGCGACCATGGGGAGAGAACATGCAAACTCAAATATACAGGCATCGGGGTAGGGATTGAACCCACGACCTTCTGCATACCAGGCGAGGTAGTTAACATCTCACCAGCGTGGCGCCTGTGATTACGACCGGGGTCCCCGATCGTAGTGAGTTGATGGTCACCAATGACTGCACAAAAAAGCCATCACACAATTTTATATCTGCACTCGATTTTGAAAAAAGAATCTAGCAAGTGCTGCCATTTTACTGCCTGTAGGCTCTATATCGCTGGAAGGGATCTCAGAGGTAGCTCTGTGACGTCCACTTCTGTGGGCCGTTCTCCGACACGAAGGGTGTCTCCGCTCTGCGAGAGATCCGAATGGATGCCCCCGTCACGCGACGACGTGACGCCGACGGCACAGTCAGGACAACGTTTGGGTTCAATGGCACGACAGAAATGGATGAGGAAAAAGAATGAATGCTTGCGCAGATGTATGGCGGCCGCACAGTGATGTGGATGAGGATTGGCTTTCGAGTTGCATTGAACTGTCAGCTTGGTGGAGCCTAAATTGAATTCTGCCTAGAAATAGGATAATTGCATATGCGAGCTAAGCTTTGCAGTCCTTCTAAAAGAAGTCACATTTTCTGATAAAATCCATTGAGTTTTTAAATGTCTTGACTAAGGACCTTTTTTTAAAAGTTGTCGTTGCTTTGGGAACACCGGCTATGGCACGCATACATTGAAATGGCATGCGTAGAATAATCTATTTAGATATAGGTTTATGAAATATGTTTCGTCTTGTGGGTTCTTTATATGTAAACTCTCTCAAACGAAATGCTTTATAAAGATCGTGTTCTCCAGATTATAAGAATCTCCTAGAAAGTTGCAGTCCTTGCGCCTGGTGTCCCAAAACTGTCACCGTCTCATGATCCTGCGGTGCAACAATCCATCAAGCGTCCGCGTGCGAGCTGGATTCACCGCTCCATCTCCACTGTGAACGTCCTATCGGACGCATCCCGTCACCTTTTGCTACCACTTTTTCACTCCTCTTCACCATAGGCCATCGACCTTTCTCGCGATGTGGCCTTCCCAAGCCCATTTTGATAAAAATGTGTGTGTTTTTTTTAATGATATCATTAACATACATAGCTTCCATGTTTCTGATCCCCTGTCTGAAGCAAAGTATATTTGCACTGATTAAAACATTAATTTTGAGGCACAGTGGTACGTTGCTTTGCGTTTCCCGAAAGCACTCCAACCTGATCTTGGTTCCTTGTTTTTTATGACACATCCCTAAGGGTAAATGCGCTGGTGCTGAATCATAATCACGACAAGGATTATTTGTTTGTGATTTAGCGCCCTTTATCATGGGGCGTCTCAGAGCGCATTGCAAACAGAAAGCCACTTACGTCACATCTCTTCTCAAACGTTTGAGAGGGTACGCCCCCCCCCCCCCCAATAGCAACTTTCCCTGTGGCCGCATGTTGAGCCAGCACCAGGCCTGCAAACGGGAACTCGTCTGCCAGTAGGGGGCAATGACTGCTACGTGTCATCCCAATTGAGTAATTTCCACGGACTCGTAACTTAGGAAACGTGGCAGAATTGGACCGTGGTGCCTGCACACGATGGCCTACATCGATTCAAACAACACGGAATATGTAGCGTCTACTTTGAAGCAGGCAGTGCATTTTTTTACGGGTAATACTCCTGCAGTGATAACCAGGGCGGCCTGTCGGATTCGAAACGCGAAACCAACCACAAGCGACGAATGCGCTGCCGCGGGGGCTGTGTCATCTCCGACCTCCATCTTGACCTCCACAGGCTACAGTGTGAGCGACGCTTGACCTCCATCTTGACCTCCACAGGGTACAGTGTGAGCGACGCTTGACCTCCGTCTTGACCTCCACAGGCTACAGTGTGAGCGACGCTTGACCTCCATCTTGACCTCCACAGGGTACAGTGTGAGCGACGCTTGACCTCCATCTTGACCTCCACAGGGTACAGTGTGAGCGACGCTTGACCTCCATCTTGACCCCCACAGGGTACAGTGTGAGCGACGCTTGACCTCCGTCTTGACCTCCACAGGGTACAGTGTGAGCGACGCTTGACCTCCATCTTGACCTCCACAGGGTACAGTGTGAGCGACGCTTGACCTCCATCTTGACCCCCACAGGGTACAGTGTGAGCGACGCTTGACCTCCGTCTTGACCTCCACAGGGTACAGTGTGAGCGACGCTTGACCTCCATCTTGACCTCCACAGGGTAGTGTGAGCAACGCTTGACCTCCATCTTGACCCCCACAGGCTACAGTGTGAGCGACGCTTGACCTCCATCTTGACCCCCACAGGCTACAGTGTGAGCGACGCTTGACCTCCGTCTTGACCTCCACAGGCTACAGTGTGAGCGACGCTTGACCTGCGTCTTGACCTGCGTCTTGACCCCCTCACAGGCTACAAGACGGTGCTCAAGTGTCTCTCGGGTAAATTCTGCAGCCGAGAGCTGGTGGGCATCATGGGACCATCGGGCGCGGGAAAATCGTCGCTCATGAACATCCTGGCCGGATATCGGTGAGTGGCCTCCTCGCATCAAACGAAGTCCCGCCCTTGGGTACGCGCGCCCGTTTCTGACGCAGCGCGAGGCTGTCGCTGTGGCAGCGCCACAGCGACAGCCTCGGTCAGTTATGGGGTTTAAATGACCGTGCTGTCACCCTGCTGGCCATTGCGGGTTGGTGAAGGGCGGTGCCTGTTTACTGGTTTAGATGTCACCTGCAACTGATGTTGGCTGGGATGGGGGAATTGATTTCAGGTTATCGGGCTCATAGCGCAGTACGCTAACTGCTGTTTTCCACCGCGCCCCGCCTTGAGTAATAATCACTTGAGCAATCTACTATTGAGACAAAACTATCTTTAATTAATTGATTGATCTCCTAATAGCTTCAAGGCGTGAATATTGCAATACTTTGTTGATCTAGGCTGCGGCCTGCCAAAGTAAACAAGAATCGTCTTGTTAATGCATTGACAGAATGCTGCTTGGGAGCACACACACGCACCGCTTTATCGTGCTACTCCTCCGATGGAGAAACTACATTGGCTCCCGGGTCTCGGCGTGCATTGCTTTGAAGACGGTCGTTGTCTTTCCCGCGTTGTGAATTGTTTGTTGTGACGATCGCGGTGAGGATGAAGCAATGTGTGCTCCGGGGGTTTAGTTGGCACCCTGCGCTATGAACCCAGCAACCTGGATTCACGATTAACATCTGTGGCGAGCGATGTCTGAACCGGGTGCTAACTAAGATGAAATATTTTTTTATTTATTCTTTTACGAGGGAAGGCCCACTGAGCTATGTAGGTCTTTTTCAGAAGCGACCTGGCCGCAAATGATGCATCAACGGGGAGTGGCTTATCGCGTGGAAATTTATAGCGGCCAAATACTCTAAACGCGTGTCGATTCTGAATGTGGAGGGAAAAACCGGAGGACCCGGAGAAAAATCCACACATCCATGGGAAGAACATGCGAACTCCAAATATACAGGCGTCAGGGTTAGGATTGAACCCACGACCTCCTGTATATCAGACGAGGTAGTTAACATTTCGCCAATGCGGCTCCCTATTATCGTCGAAATGGCTTGGGTGAGGCCTTCATCCAGCATTGGATTGATTAATGGCTATACATAATTATTGTTGCTATTATTGATGGCGGTGGTGGTGTAGCAGGCTCGACCGACCCCAATCGACGCCGTCTGCAATCTGCAGCCCACGATGAGCTGATGCTGTACCCCCCCCCCCCCCCTGCGCAAAGCTTGTGGAGCGATACGGCCGGCGTAGTTTTGTGGTTCTCCGGCCCGAAGACCTGGAACCAGTTACTTGTGAGATGATGTTCGGGATCCATGCTTGAGTCTGAGCCAGTTTTGTATCGGAATTAAAAGCAGTGGTGTTCCAGAGATCTTACCACGGTGCGACCAGGCGCGGCGCATTTGTGATGGACTGCGAGAACGCGAGTGCTCACGCTTCCCTGGTCATGGCCGAGAGAGAACCAAGTGCTGTTGCTGCTGTGTGCGGTGCAGGAAGACGGGGATGAAGGGACAGATCCTGGTGAATGGGAATCCACGCGACCCGCGCACCTTCAGGAAGATGTCCTGCTACATCATGCAGGACGATGTCCTCCTGCCACACCTCACAGTGCAGGAGGCCATGATGGTGAGTGGCGTTTAGTCTCCCTCGGTGTGCGAGATTCGCGCCTTCCTTCCTTCGGCATTTGACAGTGCCGCATGGCAATCGTACCGCGAATCTTGTAGGCACAGGGTGATGCTGTTGCTGCGGTGTAACGGTTCAACACACTGTGACATGCTATCCACATCTTCTTTGGTTCTTTCGGTAAAGTCACGTGAAGGGACGAGACTGTCTGGAGGACAGCGCTGTTCTCCAGACAGTCTCGTCCCTTCACCTGATGAAGGCCGCTTGTGTTGTGGCCGAAACGTCGTGAGAATATTATTGTGTTATTTTATTTTATCAATGTATTATTTTATTCTCATTCTACGTGACTTTACCGAAAGAACCAAAGAAGATGAATCCTTGCAGTCACGAAAGCTTTAAATCGAAATGCTATCCGCAGTTCGGCAGTTTTGTATTCGATCACCCAGCGTGGCATTAGAAAAAATGGAGCAAGTTTCTTAACTCTGTGCCCCCCCCCCACCGCCCCCCCCCCCCCCCCCCCGGTCTCTCTGGACGCAGAAATCTAAACGGGTTGACCACAGTTTAGTCGACCAACGGGTCGCACGTGGCATTGTAAAGTGTGGGTACTCCCACCCTTTGACGGGCTGGCCAGCCTGGAAGAGTAGGCCAAGACACCTTCTGGAGGGGGCTGTCTCAAGCTTCTTCTAGTGGAGGCCCCTCTACCGCCTATCAACTTGGAGGGTGTCGCTTCGTGTGCCGACATCAGTCGAGGAAAAGCTGTCGCTTGGCATTAATTTCAGGCTTAGCGGGCCCAGCGGAGGCATTCGGCAATTGCATTAATTAATCTTGTTCGGTGATTTCGAGCCACAAATTGGGTTGCAACCTGTCCTGGTTTCCCCAGGGTGCCCTCTTTCTCAGGTAGCTCTTCAGGTTTTTTATAGTCCTGGTTTTTGTAAAAATGTTATTGATACATCACTCTAGACAATACCTTTACGTGTAGTTCTCCCCTCTTCTTGGTATTTAGAGATTATTTTTCCTGTAATCATAAGTAGTGGTAACCTTGTTCACACTGCTGGGATCAGACCCATGTTCTTGAGATGGCATCTGATGGAAATTCCACTGCTTGTTCAATCCATCTACTTTATTTGTACCATAGTGAAGCTAGCATTGTAAAAAATATATAAGAAATATATACATGAAATAAAATGATTATCGGATGGATGGAAAATCTTCAATGCCAGTGTGGGGCTTCCAAATAAGCCGTTTACCTTTTGCCTTCGCTGCAACCTGCTCCTGTGCTGCTTCTATTTCCATCGACAAAAGCCGACAAATAACGTTAGCCCGTAACCCCATCCTGGATCAATACGCCGCCGGTAACCCAAAAGCGGTCGCGACTGCACGCATCCGGCAACAAAGCGTCAAAGCGGCAAAGCCGTGTGACCGCCTCGTTAGTTGCGTTGCAATAATCATCATTAGGGGTGTTCGCACCACAGAGCGATCGCACTTACACCGTGACGTTTGCGAACGACGCCGTTGTGACGTTTGCGGAGACCGCTGTGGCGTTGGGGGGTTTGCACGTTCAGCATCCGGTGAGGGGAAAAGGCTCCGGTTACCGATTTTTCCAGTCAAGGTGGTAGGAATCTTAAGAGTGAGGTTCTTGTTCCATTATTGCTTCATTGCCACCCAGTGTTAACATGGGGGAAGACGGTTGATAATTAGGTTGTTGATGGCACTATTTTTTATTGTAACAATGACGATAAAAAAATATATATTATATATAACAGGGTAAAGGTGCAGCCCTGTAATTGCCAGCTCATGCCATTGCTGGCGGAAGGGCCTCCATTGGAGAGAGCCCTAGAGAGGCCCTCTAGAGTCTGTTTACATTTTAACCACTCGCAGAAATTCCTTTCATTAGTATGATCATTGGCCCTGGTCGATCCCCTGCTGGATGAAAGCCTCCCCAAGTCACTTGCCATCTCTCACGATCTTGCGAATTAACATTCGCCTCCAGCACAGGAGGCTATTTTCATAGTTCCATCTCCTTGGCGGGCACGCCCTCTCGGACACATTCTGCCCTCGTTGAGTGTAAATCCTGAAACGGAATGCATGCTCTCACGATCTGCGCTGCCTTACCGATTTCCTTAGCCAACGGCTAATTCTCATCTCTTCATCGCAGGTCTCCGCAAATCTGAAATTGCAAGAGAAATTGGACGAGAAGAAGAGGCTGGTGAGTTCAGTTTGGATGAAACTGCTAGTGTGTGTCGCGTGATTTTAATTATTATTATATTTGTGTGTGTATATATATTTTTTTCCAGTACGTTGTATCACCCGTCTCGTGTTCGTTACCAGTGCGTACCCCACCACCCCGTACGTCAGTGCTTTATTTTTCTTTAAATGGAATACTTTTGCCAATAACGTCTGGTAATCTGGCAGCATTTGGCTCACAAACACGACTCTGCTGCTGAGACCCATCATCTTACAAACAAATCCAGAGTTTGCTTGCTTGCTTGCTTTAACAATCACAGCTTGATAATGTTGGTCTGGGAATTCGGTAGGCTGCTGGACGAAGGAACTTTTTTTTAAATTGTGTGTTTCCAGCAGAGGCGGTTCCAGAGACAATTCCTTCGTAATTAGGTCATCGTAATAATGTCAGCAACGTAAAGCTTATTTAGTCGTACCTTTTGCAACTGCTGAACAATCGAATAAAAATAAAGTACAAAGATTGTAACATCTTGTGAAGAAGCAATTAGTGCGGGGCAGGCCCACGGGGTGGGGGGGGGGGGGAGTTAGAGGAGGGGGGGGGGCCTTCCGAGCTGCAGCGCGACCCCAGCCTGGCTGTTGGAACTTGACCCTGAGAGAAGGCCGATGCTTGCGTTGTGACTCTTCTCCGCACAAGCGCGGCGCGGCGCGCCCGCCGGGTCTGTTGCGTTGCGCGGTCGGTCGCCTGCGCTCCTCCGCTATTCGTTCGCCAGACCTCGCCGCTCGTTTGCACACACACATAGCGCGTGCCGCATGTAAAAAAAAAACCAACGATACCTTCGCTGATGTCGTCAAGGAGCGTAAACCATGACGTGAAACTCCGCTGGTCCTCGCAGCAGCGGCTTTTGGCTGACCGTCGAACAAAGACGGCGGTCACCGCTTCGCGCGCTTTCAGACGCGCTCCTGCGGCCGTTTGAAACGCTCTTCCGATATTAGGAAGCCACTGGAGCTATGCACTTTAAAATCTAGATTGAAAACTCATTTCTTTACAACTGCTTTTTGTGTTTAGTTTGTTGTCCCCACCCCCCGCACGTCCGATGAGCGCGGTTGGCTACGTATGGTGCGAAAGAGGTGCAACGCACACACGTACGCGGTGAAGCCACACCCAAAGGCGGCGCAGCATCTCACGATCCTGCGGCGTAGCAATCCACCCAACGTCTGCGCACGCACGGATTTGATTGCTCCGTCTCCCCCGCTGGACGTGCTCACGATCGCGATCAATTCCGCGACTGACGCTCTGTTTTTATTTTTTTTTCGTGACCGTTTGCCATTGTCCCTCCTAGTGGTGGCTTCCGATGGGCTTCAGCATTACCAAATCACTGATGCATGTTTACTGCATGCGGTTTTGTTTATGGAGGCAATGAACGTGAGCACAATATTACGCCTGCAAGCGCATCATATTCAGCTGTGGCCTGCTTGCCAAGGCTTTGACGGTACAAAAAAATATATATTCACCTCTAAAAATGTGTGAAAGAGACACAGACCGCATGTCAAGAATATGCCGTACTTTGCTTGTACAGGAACCATTATAGGAGTGCTGTTACAGCGACTGTAGAAATTCCCAGAATGCACGGCTGTTTGTTTCCAAACCATGTTCCAATCACAGGCGGGTATCAGCACAGCATTACAGAGTGTGCTGTTATCTGTAAGCCTGGTTAACCGCTTTCTGATACAATATTTACTGTATTCTCCGCAGTGTAACATGTTCCGGAAATCAAGGTGCAGCCCAAACTTGTGCCCAGTGTCAATAGAGTATGCAAAATCTGGTCACACACACACCAGATTCTCAGACGCGCACCCCGAAATTATTTTTAAATACAGGGGAAAAAGCACGTTTCATAATCTGGAGAAGGGTACAGTACAACTCGGCAGTATGAGGTTCCTTGTCTTGGAAACCATTTGACCTCCCGCTGCCCACTTGAGGAAGAAGGGTGGGCTTCGTAGGCAGCGTCTCCTCATTCGTTTTCTTTCACCTCCAATTCATCGCGATGGTGCCGTCGGCGTCGTGTCTATCGGCGTTAAGAGCCATGTTCGGGTCGCCCTCGAAGGAGAGTGCGGCCCTGTACGGTAGAGAAGGGCCCACGGAAGCGGATGTCACAGAACTACCTCTGAGAAATCCCTTCAAATCGGTGACGCAATATCCTCGGCGTTATTTCGAGTAATTCGGCTGCTTTAAATGTCCACGTGACAAGCCACTTTGTTGAGCTATCATTTCTGATGGCCAGGTGGCTTCTGAAAAAGAGCTATGTAGCTCAGTGGGCCTTTCCTGGTAAAAGAAAAAAATATCAATAGTTAAATAGCTTCGTCCCAGGTGACTGCCTGAATTCAAACCCAGGATCTAAGCAGTGCCAGCTTGGCACTATAGCTGGCCACCTCGTTGTAAGAGGTAAGAGTTTCGCGACCAATATTATCCATAATAGAGGGGTTTTTTTTAGGTTGGATTGCGTAAATATAAATTCGTCGTTAAACTCACCACCATCCGACACAGCTAATTAGTGTTTTGCCACAATTTTGGCTGTTGCCTGATGAGGCTGGTTTGTATTTACCGGCGAAACGTCGTACTCGAATGTTGTGGATTTACTCTCCAACACACCGGTGTGCTGAACTCGTAACTAATTGGCACGTTTTGTTTACGTGACAAACCTTACTAATTCGCTGTCGGATGATGGCGGGTTTAACGACACTTAGTTATGCGATCTAACCCCAAAAAAAACCTCCATTATGAAGGCGAATAAGTGAATCTGTGCGAGTTTTGTAAATATCTCGGATCCAAACGTGAAGGGTGCTCACCATCTGTGGTCTTACTTCGTATGCATCGTGCACCGCTTTTTCGCTCTGTAGGCTCCGATAGAGGAGGGGCAGTCCCCTCCGACAACAACAACAACAACAACGGAGGGTGGAGGAGTGATGCTTACAACAACGGGCAGAGTGCCGGCTGGCTAATAATACACGGCGAGTTGGCACAGTTGCGAGCACTGTTACTGGATCAGCCGGTCATCTCGGCCTGTTATCCCATTACACCCGGGTCTATCCCGTGATCACCTGCCAGCGAGCCTGCGACACTTGATATGGCCTCAAAGCCGCACCTGGCCTGGCGCAGTCGCTGTGGCGATGGTCACCTGTCGCTGAGCGGCGGATGGCGGCGGCGGTTGTTGCTGCTTGCGCTTGGGGGCCCAGTGTCTGTGTGCGGGACCTGTCTCCGCCCTCCCATTTGGGCCTCCGCTGCTTCGTAAGTAACGGGTGATGCTCGTTGCCCTCGTAGTTAACGGTTTGCTCAGAATGTGACTCGGCACCAGGGCGCTGTCGAAGGGGTCAAGTTGGAGAGGAAACCGCCGAAATTGTCTGAATCTGGTTAGATGAGGGCCTACCTCGGTGCTAATAATTACACAATCTAATTCTGCTGTTAATCGTCTTGCACACATTGCTTCATGTAAAGCTGTACTGCTGTAAATACTATATTAACAACAATGCTTAGCCCAAGGGGTGCGTCTACTTGCGGATTGGTTTGAAAGCAAGTGCTGTTCAGATGGCGCCTTTTATTATTTTCTACAATTACACACGGGCATACTTAACCGAATGTGGAAGTATTTACCCACTTTGTATTTTTTCTGCCGATTTTCCGAGATTCAGCACCGGCCACGACAATCCCCCTCCTCCCATGCTAGGGAGTGGGATGGACCGTGGCAACTGCAGGACTGCGAGTGAGGGATGATGACAACTTGGGGAGGCCTTCATCCAGCAGTGGACAGAACACTGCTGATAATGATGATTGTCTGGCAGCGAGTCCAGCAGTGCGCCTGATGGGACATTAAGGAGTTTGTTGTCAATGTAACGCCACGCTTGTAAATAACAACACTCAAAGGTGTGTTCGTAAACAGCAGGAAGGCACGACTTCCATCATGCTTTGTGTGCATGTCATGTTACCACCACATTCGTACGGTTGGCTTCGTACGGTGCGAAATAAGTTGAATATAGATACATTCATTGTACGTACAATGCTCACATTTTTGTCTGAACCGCCAATGCAAAAGAGTTGTTACATGCAATGTGGTGGTCACGTGACATGCTGGGAGCCGTGCCTTGTTGCTGTTTGTGAGTAGGGGCGCACCTTCCAGCCTGCACGGATTCTCCTGTTGCGATGGGTTCTCTCATCGTTTCACAGAACGTGTTGGGTCTGACGCTTAAGCCTGTGTTGCCCTTTTTGGCGTGGGATCCGATGCACACGGCACGCTTGTGCCCCGTGTTGCGTTATGATGGCGGAGCGAGTCAGAACGGTACAAGACGGATGATTCGCATTACCAGCGTGTTCCATTTCCTTGCATCCCAAGCTGACGATGTGGAATGTGATGAATGGAGCAGTTCGTTCGAGTGACCTGCCCTGGCGCCCGCTGTGGTGCTCAGAGTTCCTGGGTAATTAGAGCGCTTGGATGCGAGTGCCAGGATAGTTGTCTAAGACTGCAGCGTGCTCTCCCTCTACACACGGAGCCCAAATTATATATACACAGTCGTAGCAAGCTCTTAGGCAATGGGGGAGTGACGTGATTGCGATAGCTGCTGATGATAATGATGACAGTGAGAGTCGAGCAGTGGCAGAGTGATTAGTGCACTGCAGTCCTGCACTGTGAACCCGGCGAGTCAAGTTCGATTCCCGGCCCACGGCTAGCATCATCAGTGGCGAGGTGACACCTGAACCGACCCTGACTGCCCCCTTTTACCAAACTGCGTTGACCAGTTTGGCGAATTACAGTCAAACAACCCCCAATACTCACACGGTATGGAAACGCATTCATCCGGCAGTGGATTGGCAAGGGTTTTAGGTTATTGCTAGTATTCCGCTTGAGGTCGTAACGATTTGCCCCTATGAATCAAGTTATCCTTCCGCTTCAGGATTGCTGTTCCGTTCAATATTTTTTTTTTATATTACATCGTGTTGAATCTAGCGGCCTCCAGTGGCTGTGGGGATTCTGT